AGATATCTTTTTCAAGGGCCTACAGCAATTGAAAAGCAATTAGAATTTCCTTGTGTTTACCGGTTGCATTAACAATCCTGTAGATACGTATGAGAGGCCACATGAAAAAAAGCTGCCACCGTACTTTCACTGCGCAGCCATTGTAATACAGAAGCGTGGGATGGCAGCAAAGCAAAACTTCAGTTGGATACTTGGAATTTAGAGACCCTTCAGGCCCTGTCCTACCATTAAAAAAGCAAAGTGGGAAATGCTTCCTTCTCACCAAATAGGCAGGTAACAGTACTGGGAAAGAAATTTCAGACAGCTGCAGTGTGATAGCTGAAAGCTGCCTCTCCTGAAGACACAGGTCCTGGTCGTGTACTTTCAGGGTTGCATTTGTTAGAAGAGTTTATTCATTAGTGGCTTGAGAGTGACAGAGCTCTGCACAAAGTTTTTTCATTATCTACCAGACTGGGCAAGCGGGGGTAGCTCTGAAGCAGTGGGACAAAGGGGAATCATGCACCCCCTCCATGTCAGGGTCTGGCAAGTCCAAAGCTGCAAAAAGTTGAGGGGGAAACTTCCTGCAGTGGCCAGCGGAGCTGGACTTGTGTGGAGGGAGGTTGCTGGAGAAGGAGCATGGAGATCTTCTTTCATCCTCTGCCATAATCTTCCCATGCGGTCCTGCGCAGTGCCTGGAAAACGCTTGCAGTGAGGCGTTCCTAGGCAGTGATTAGCGGTGCAGTTAACGAATGCTGGTTTACATCACTTGGGGATAAATCCACCTTCTGACCATCTGTTACAAGTGGCTCTGGTTTTCTTCTGATTCATGTTCATGCCAAGCAGAATTACCTTCATTTAAATCACTGGCGTTTCTTGGAGAGTGACCGCTATGAAGGAGTTGGTCCACTGGCAAGGTCTCCCAATGAGTCACGTACTGTGGGGCAGAGATTGTATCTCTTTGGATGTTTTGTTCATTCTTGAATGTGAGGGGGCTCAACAGCTAGCAAGAAGTTAGCTCTTACCACGAAATGCCAAGTGCAACTCTGAAGCTGTTAGCCTTGCAGATACTGCTAATCTGAAAGCAGTTGATGTTGCCTACTGCTGTATTTAGAGCAAGTGGATTTGGTCACTCATGCTTTTTTTTTTTTTTTTTTTTTTTCAAAAATACTGTCAGATCTCTCACAGGCAGTATTTTCTAATGAATGCAAATGAAAATTGTGATTATCCATTTCAAAGCAATCGGTAGCAAGCCGTGGTTGGGCACAGAACGTTATTTATACAGCTCATAAGCCCCAGTGATGCTCGTGCATAATTCCTCACACATCACACTGATAGAAATTGCCTTCAGGGCCAGACTTTCCAAGCCAGGCTCTCTGTTTTTAAGTTGCAGACATTGTCATTTCAATGGCTGACTACTTGATTTTGCAGGTTCAGTTTGATGCGCATATGATAGCAAGCCCATGCTTGCCTGCAGATGCCAGACTGCATCCAAAATGACTGGGTCCTCTTAACAGCAGTGAATAAAGTGACAGGCTGGCAGCTCTTAGGGACTCTTGGTTCTCTCTTCTTATTTTCCAAGTCCTTCTCTACTGCTGCCTGTTCACAGTTCCATTCTTATCCCCCTCAGCGCTCACCTCAGAATGAAAACTTAGGGCATATCATGTGTTTACATGTATGATTGCTCTTAACTCAAACTTTATGTCCATGTGCTGCTCAACCTGTAATTCCAGTGCATTGACTCCTGCTTGCTGTTCCCCACTTGGATAATCTTGCTCTCACTGCTCTGTTTGCACGATCTGTCTCTGACCTATTGAAAATGGAATTCACTGAAAGATACAAATTATCTTTTCCTGTCCCTGCTAGGCTCCTAGGGAAAGTGAAAATAATTGTGTCTCTTCCTGCTGTTGATACTGTAGTCACTGCATCCAATAATCTTTTGGGAAGTTTAACTTCTACAACACCAAGGAATGTATTAATTGTCTATATTAGCCCTTCTTGGAGGCTGAGAGGTACGGCAACAAACTACAGTGAAACTGTGAACACAGACAATGTGCAGTGAGTAACCTCTTTTCTAAGAGACTATGTTAACCAAAGGACTAATAAAATCTTGTTTAACCATCATTGAAAGACTTTTTGGTAGACGGCCAAGCCTGGTTGGTCTCTTGAGTATAAAAAGTAGTATAGAAATGTTCCATCTAGCATTAATTCATATCAGCTTCTGATGCCAATGTCCTGTACATTGAAGAGAAATGCTCCTTTACTGCACCATTTTACGTTTTGAATTGTCCAAGCTTGTAGCACATTCCACCTACTTCTTATTGCAGCGGCACCCTCTGCCCTCAGTCCTTCTGATGTATCAGCTGGTTTGGTTGGTATTTTGTACACACGTGCAGCCTGGTCCCACAGTGGTGAGATGGAGATCTTTCCTTGCTCTCATATAGGGCTTAGGGGGTTTTGGCCAGGCAGCCCTGTGTTGCCATGCCTGTGTTTCTAGTCCTCCACTGACACGTGGGAGGGAGGTTTCTCCCTGTAATCCACTGGTAGCCCCCAGAGGTAAATGTCCCATTCTTTTTCCTACTCTGAGGACAGACTCAGCCTAAGGTTGAGTCTCTGCCTTATGGAAATACGAAGCAATCTCCCAGCTGAGCACTGATCAGAAGGTTGTTCTTATGCAAACCAAACAGGACAGCATGAAAAGGCTTAAAGCAAGGCCCAGTGTAGAGCAATATGTTGCAAACTTGTTCGCCTGGATCTGTGAAATCCATTTTTTCAGTGAGGAGTGGAGCTTACAGCTTCCAATGCCAGACCGCTGCCTGTCTGTTTCTCAGTGTGTCATCCATATCTCCTACCTAAATTTTAATTCCCTTCCCCTTACTTTCCAAGTATTACTCTGTACAACAAAGCAAAGGCTTTATTACTTTCTCTTCACAGCTATAGTCCATGTGTTTATATCCCCTAGCTTCTTAAGTTGGATGTGTCTAAGGGTAACTTTTGCTTATGGGTAAGAGTAAGAGGTTTTTAGGATTTGACACAAGGTTTTGCAATTCTAGCATGCTTGGTAGCTGTTTGATACAGTCGTGCACTGAGACCTCTATTCAGAAATTGGTAGACTCATCCCTGATTCTGAGAACTGACAAATCTAATGCAGTAACTAGACAACCTCCTCTTGCTCAAGCTACTCTTGCTTGAAGTCACACAGAAAAGCAGTGAGTGTGAGGGCCAGTGCTATGCCCTGTATCTCTTCAACCATAGTGACCTGTCTTGCATGCTGGGGCGTGATGCTGCAGACTGGTGACTGCTTTCAGTTACATATCTGTTTCCAGAATAACACCAATTTAAAAAAAAAAAAAAAAAGATATAACAGTAACTCTTTATTGTGGCTAAGCTTGTGTAACAGGTTTTCATATGATGTTTTCAGTGTTTAAAGCCTTTTTTCATTAAACTGTTTCAGTATCCAAAAAAAAACCCTATTTCTCTTACTCAGCTTCATTAGTTATAGGAAATCACTGGATTAAAGCAGAGAGCAGATTAGTGAAAAATAAACTGTAGTAGGTCTTGGGCATATGGTGCTGCGTATGAATGGGTTTTAACTACTTAACTGTGTGTAACAAAGAGCAGGAGGAGAGATTTGTCTTAGCGTGCAATAACTATAATTTGCAGTAGCTGCATAGCTTAACAGTCAGAAACCACGAAGCCATGGAAGGATTTCGGTTAGGATTTGCATGGGGTGTGTGTGCCTGTCCCCGAGCTTACATCGTGTTTTCTGCCAGCTGACGGCCGGGCACAAGACTGGACTTTGCTAATTAATAGGATGCCTCTCCCTCCTTTCCCTTCCTCTTCACTGGGCTCACGGTTTGCAGCACTGGGTTAGTGCAGGTTACAGAGACTGGGATTTAGCCCATCGGATGCGGGAGCCAGCGCTGGTCCGAGCATGCTGCTCCGTCACATGGACCAAAGGGGAGGCACGCTGTGGGCAAGCCCATGACAGCCCAGGCTTTGCCTCAGCTGGAAATTGTCACCCGCAAAGCAAACATGAACAGAAGTAATAAATAAAAGAAGCCGCAATGTAGGGTGATTGCTGGGGAGCATCAGCCTTCGGGCTCTGGGCACAGGCAACGGGATACGGCCAGCTTTGAATTCAAACGACTCCATTATTTCTAGCTTCCTGCTTTTTTTTGCCTAGTATCTGTCGTTCCCCTCTGATGCTTCAGTCTGCAAAAGTCAAATTTATGCCTCTTCTAAGTAGATCCAGCTCACACCGGTTTGAACTTGGTCCTGAAGCACAAGTCAGTGCAAACACTGGTAATGTCCTGACAGCGCTGCATCTCCCATTTACCAGGAAAACTGTGCTTTGCCATTTGGGTGCTGAGAGGTTTCTGAAAACGAAGCAGTGGTGATGATGTCCTTTCCATGTCTTAAAAAACCTGCTTATAAGGGGATATAAAGATTCACGAAGCCAATCAAATCTAATTTATAAAGCAAATTCAGAAATACCCGGAAGATCACCTGGTCTTTATTTGGGCTCCTCAGCAGGTTTGCTAGTATGGATTAACCGATAGTGTTATGCCACGTAGCTTAACCCTGCGTGTCCTCCCCTTTTTTGGGGATTGCTTTCTTCTGAGGTTTCCACAATGTGTTTCGCATCCACTGTGAGTAACATTCTTGGACTTCTGCCCTGGGTTAATCAAACGTAAATCATTGCCCCATGCAAAAAGAAAGTTTTGCCAAAAAATTGTGGTGGTCCAGAGGGGAAGAAGAGAGATGTTTTTTTTCCTCTGTGAACTTTTAACTAATTTTATTCCTTTTTTTTTTTTTTGGTAGGAAGTTTTATGCATTGAAAAATTCACCGACAAGGCGCGGATCATCTTGCGTTTTTAGAGATTAATACAAAAAAATTAAATCCTCACCTGCTCAGGAGAATATATTTGCTTTCTCCCCAGTTATTTTTATAGTGATGATCTCTGCCAAACTTGCAGGCTTTCTGTTAGCTTATCAATAACTCAACATTGCTTCTATTGCAGAGTTCCCTGAAGAGAAGAGGCAGCAGAGAAATGCACAAAGAAAAAAAGGCATTTACACAGGTATGGTTTTCAAGAATGTGCAATTTTGAGCAAAATCACGTGATAAAACTGAAAATTTCTTTTTACGTGTGTTGACAGGGCCATCAGGCACATGAACTAGAATGCAATTAGGCCTTAATCTACTGAGACCTCCCAGAGACAGTGTAGAAGTAATTCAGGACACAAGTGTGGTCTCTAAACCACGCAGCTTCTCGGGCTCGCTGTGCTTGTATCCACAGATTGAAGCTGCAGGTTTTTTGCAAGAGGAGAAAATCACCTTGCCTCACAAAGTAATTGGATCGCAGCTTAGGGACTAACTAAATTTATACGTAGTGCCAAAGATTTTGTGCTAATGAGCATCTCGGCAGGGAACACGGTCGACACGCTGCAACTACACTGGGCGAGCTCTTGGCGGGGGGCAGCACGTGAACTTGTGCTCTCCCGTGCTGAGACACAGCACAGAGCCTAAGCCACCCACTCCGTCTCCCTTTGGACACTGTTTTTTTTTAAATCCTGTAGGCTGATCCTTCTCAGGGAAGTGGTCTGCCTGATTTCCTCTGCATTTTGTGCTGACTGTAGGAGTTAAAGCTTTTCCCAGCACCCGTACGGTTGCTGTTTATAGCCGGAGAGATGGGGATAGTGTTTCACCCTGCTGCCAAAGGAGTCAAGAGCAACATTGCGCCTTCGTTACAGAAAGGTTGCACCTCCCCTGCTGCCCCTCAGTAGACCCAGCATACACAGCCAAGACCTATTGGTCTTCTTCGAGTCGATGGAGTCTTAAAATCCATTTATTTGTAATAAAATCATTACAACATGCTGTACGTAATGGATCAGGTGGGCAGCTGAGTGGGTAGCGTGGGCAGACCAGGGGCTCGTGGTGGCTACAGCCTGCTTTCCCAGGACACAGCAGACTGAGTGTCCCTAACAAGCCGATACAAGCACGGCTTAATCAAACCTCAGCATGGGGCACTGGGCTTTCTTCTTGCAGTCACCAGTCAGATCAGAGAGTTTGTTTTTCTTCAAGTCTGTAAAATACATGGATGGAATATATATGCCCGCACACATGCAAATTACAGATGAAGCTGCGTGAAGGCAGGGTTGTGTCCACTGGGGTTTGTGGGCGGCACTTTTCCTTCCTTTCCTCATTCCTGGAAATACAGAGCAGTGCAGATGGAATGGATTCCTCGTGCTTGCTTCCTCTGCTCAAAGCCAGGCAGCAAGAGCATCTGTAGTTTGCCTTGGAAAGCCTTAAGAAGAACTTCACAAAATTAACTGAGTAGCCCTGGGTCAGCTCTGCTCCACAGACAAAGTGAAGTGATACTAGAAACCACCCAGGGGGAAAAATCCCTTTATCCATACATTGTAACTCATGCGAGCAAAGGATTTGGGCTTGACAATGAAAACCATTGTGACAGCACTGTGCAAGGTGGCTTTTCAGTTTTCTTCAGCAATTCTTTAGGTTAGGAAAGACTGAGAAACAATCTTATATATTGACATGGCCTAGCCTATAGGTGCATGGCCTAGCTCTCTCCCAACTCTATGGTGTTAACCAGAGCTGTCTCCAAACCTGGGTATCCCGTTGGAGCCATGTACTGGTTGAGACCAGAGCGCACCACAGCAAGTGCCCGTGTCCTGGGGCATGGCCCAAAGGGGTTAGTACAGACACAGCCCAGAAGGTTCAAAACACTGCTCTTTGGGGACAGCTGCCCTAAATACCTCAAATAAGTTCAAATACCCATTACATGTTTTGCAAAAAGCAACCACAAACTTAGATTCTGTGCATCCGCATGTGTACAGATATGTGTAGCATATGGCAAGACTGGTGTTTTTGCTTACTGGGAACTCAGTGTGAAAATTAGCTGGAACATCGCACCCACCGCAGGGCACACTGAGTAAATAGTACCTGTGAAATTGATTGTCTCGAAGTCGTGTAAAAGCAGAATTCATAGTGGTGCTTACCCGCCTCTAGCAGTATTGAAGAAAGAAAGTTTTTATTCAGCAGAATTGCAAAACGGAGCTTCTTGGAAAATACCAGGCACCAGGCAAAACACAAAGAAAAGCAGTTCTTCAGCGTAAGGTAGGAGTGCTGGCACTCAGCCAGATGCTTGGGTGCTGGTCGTACTGCCCTGTCGTCAGACTTGCAACCCCAAAACCGCTTACCCATCTTCTGCCTGGCAGTTCCCTTGACCTGGTGGTGGTGGTGGAGGAGATGGTGTTGGTCGCTATCTCTCTTTGTGTCTTCTTGCCAGAAAAGAAATATCGTATTTGGGAATTTTTGATCAGCTCCTCATTCTCATCACGTCATTTACATTGCATGATGAATTTAAGTTCTTTTCTTTCCTTTAAGTTTCATTTCTTTATCTCCACGTTCTACATTTGTCTAAATTAGACTGCAGACTCTGTAGGGAGGGATCTGGTTTTTTTCTTTCTGCTTTTTTTTTCCATTAACATCCCTCTGAAGTGCCATGCAGAGCTGTGAAGCTATTGCATGCAAATAATCACTATCAGTAATCATTAATTCCTGTTTATCCTTAATGATCTTTTAAAGTCCGTGACAAGCACCATGACTGATGGAACGTTACTGCACTGTCGTTCCTTCTTTTCCTTCTATACAGTCTGCCCTAAGCACACCTTTTAGGAAACCGTTCACATACCGGATGTGAAATACAGTCAGGCTGTGCCATAGCCCAGCTTTCAGCCCCTGGGATTCGAGCCTCTTGTTCCTCCAAAATGATGGAAAGACTGTTCTCCTTCCTCCTCCCCCTCTCCTTTCTTTTCATTTGTGATTTAACTTATAATGAACTATTCTTAATTTTGGTGATTTGGCCTCTCCTTAGTTTGCCCTGTATTTCAAAACCACCTGCCTGTGTGGGCATCTCACCCTCTTGCTACTTCTACTTGGCTTCAACTGATCAAGAAATCGCTGATATTTCTGTGCACAAAGTTTCAGAAGGACAGATGCATGAAGACTGGAGTTCTACTCTTCTGGCATGCTTAGATCTGGCTGATAAATCTCTCCTGACCATTCTTTTTCTTTGGAAAAAAGCTGTCCAGGGAATGGGATTTTCAGTAGTCATGTTCCCTTGGCAGAGAAGCTGGGAAGATCTAAAGCTGTCTCACCTTTCCAGATGGGATCCATATTTAGTAGGCGAGATTAACATCCATCCGCTCTGTTGTTTTGTGTGTGAGGCTTGTGTTTGTTTAACGGAAAAAAATCGTGTTTGTTTCAGCTCTTGTGAAATACAAAACTTACAAACGTGATCCTTTTTATCATGGACAAAACCTAGCAATAAAGTAATGCCGTTATAAGAAGTTAACGGTGGTTTTGTCCTGCTATAACAAGGCACTAACTCCGCAGACGCATTGAGTCGTGCAGTGATGCCAAGCAAAACTGTTGGGACCCTGACCCCAAACCCATCGAAGCCTTTCCCTTTTCTTCAAAAGCTTCAAAATGCTGAGTGAGACCCAGTGACTGTTATTTACATTGCTTGGAAGGCAGTAGATGTCAGGCTGGAAGCCTCTCTGACCCCCATGGAGAAGCTGGCCCCCAGTGCTCCCAGCCCGGGGAGGGGGATGCAGGCAGGCTGCCCCTTCCCCACCAGCATTGGTCCAGCTGCCTGCAGCCAGGGAGGTGGCAGGTACCAGCTAGTGCCACTGATGGCTGGGCACTTGCAGCCAAAGGCAGAGGAGAAGCATGAGGGGGAATGCCAGATTACAAAGACAAAATTAGGAAAATGTGATTATTTCCAAGCTATTAACAGATAAATAAATAAACTGGAGTAATCACCCCCACCTGTGAGCTCTGATGTGCAGCACTGGTCTGGACTTTCCTTGTGATCTCTGTATTTCTGTAAAAAAGCAAAACCTACAGCTGTGGGGATAAACTGATTCTCGATGATAGGAAAAACAGAGGTAATGTATTGTGCAGCCCTGACCAAAGATGATGCTTTAATCGTACAGCCTTACCCAGCCAGAGCAGCCAAAATTCAGAGTGACTTCAGTGGAGGCTGTGTGGAGTTTTGCCAGGTTTTAAATCTGATACTTAATTTGCAGTTTCAACTTATAAAGAGAGCAGCAATTTGCAATATGTGCATGAAAAAGAGGTATGTGTATGTGAGGACATGATAGAGAGGAAAGAAAGTCCAGAAGGCTTTGCTTCTAATCAATTGTATGCACCTTGATTGTATTCATAGAAAATTCACATTTCTGGTGCCAGAAACATGATGACCAGAGTTTTAATCAGTCAACTGATCAACTGATTGCAGTTGTGTTTGTCTTCTAGTTATGACTGAAAACCACATATTAACAGAAACTTTGACCATCGTTTGCCTCTATAATGTTATTAACGTTTAAGATAATTTTCTTACTGTTTAGTATTTTAAAGTCCCAACCTGCACCAAGCAGAATCAGTAAAAGAGCTGACTGAGTTCAGGAGTATACAACCAATTACTTTTGTGGCTGTTCAGGTATTAATAGCTGAAATTAAGACATAATTGGTATATATCGAAATAGCATGGGGCAAAATTAGTGTAGGTAACATAAAAGACACCATTACCAATGTGCAAGGATGTGTGCTTTAGAAATTAAATAATTTCCTCAGGTTGCTGAGCCATAATTAGTTTTGTAA